TTGGTCACAAAGGAGAGACAGAATATAGAAAGCTCAGCACAGGTCATCCTTTAAATTGAAATACTCCTGATATTACAATAGTGTATAGATAAGCATTCCAGTGTATGTCAAATAAAAAACATTCAACACATACAGTTACTGAAAATAAGTATATACAGCTATGAGAACTTTTTATTCAGTGAATACATAAAAAAAAAAAAAAAAGATAAAATCAGATAACTTTAAGTAGGTTTTATTTAAGAATATTTTCATATCCACAGTATTACCAGTGGATGGTTTCATAATTGACTTGCTGGCTCCGTGCTTTACTGTGTGAATGAAAATGATAAAGTTTTTGGTTGAGCAACATGATGAACATGTTGAATGCCCCCAAACTGTACATGTGAAGATTATTGTTCTTACCTAAAAAGAAACTCATGATTATTACTTAAAAACCGATAAAATGTCACTTGTCTATAATGTTCTCAGCAACACCCCTCCAACATTGAATTAAAAGCTCCACCAGCTATCTTTCCAGTAACTTTATACCTAACTCCATAATGGCACTTAACACACTGCACTGGGTATACATTTTTGCACATTTTACTGATGGAAACCAACAGACATTTTTCTTGTACCAGGTCTATAACTTTTCATGGAGTTAGATTAAGTGATGGGGAAATCCCTAGGGAGATGGACTGACACAACGTCCACAATACTCAGCTCAAAAATACCGACAATCATGAAGACGGCACGGAACCAGGCAACTTTTTATTCTGTTATACATAAGGTTGCAGTGAGTCAGAAGACTTGACAGCCATTGATTTTAAAAAGTAGTCTTCACCTGACTTGGCTAGGGATTTTTTTGACATTAAAAATCATATAGTAGCATCACCAGAGTCCCATGAATTGCTCACTAGGAAGATTATGATATCACTGTGAACACACCTTGTTATTCATATACTTGCTTCAAATAGTTTTGTTTTCTTTGGAATAAAATGGGCTGCTGTGAAGATGAAGTTTGAACATGGTCATGAAAGGCAGGCAGTGACAAATACGGTGAATAATGTATATATAAAAAGGTCTGTACTTTTTAATTTAATTTTCATGGGAATCAATGTCTGAGAAAGAAATATAAATTTTTCTGTGTCTGGCTAGTGTTAATGTGTTTTCTTTTTTTGTCTGTTTACATGTCGTTGTCATTAGGTACTTTCAAATCAGCTCCAACTCACAGCGACCCTATGTACAACATGAGGTGTCAACATAGTGACTGTTTACATAGGCCCAGGATATAGAAGAGTTTTCTCAAGAAAGGTGGGGAATTATCATTGGCAAATGAGAGTGAGTATAGACATCAATGCGCAAAATAAATTACTTTGTCTAATTATTTTGCATAACTATTTTAGGAATGTCCCAAGCAATGTGTCTATGAAGTATCAGAGGTGGCATAGGAACTGAAATTAGTCATGTGGGAAAGAGTTCGTTTCAATTCATGGTTGAGCTGTGAAGAATACCTTCACCAATCACTTCTGCAAGAGTTAATGAGCATTACATCATCAGAATAACCTCTCTCTGGCTGCTCTTTTCCTGAGGGCAGACAAGGGTTTGCACCTGCTTGTAGAAGAAGCCGCTTTTAAGATTAACCCTATTATGTGTGGGGAGATGGTGTTAGATATTCTCCACTGAAGAGAAATTTAGAAGCATTTCAAGGGAGCATTATTCTTCAAAGACTTAGTTACTGTGTGTGTTGGTGTCAAGGAGTATGTGTGTTTTAAAGAAAATACCAAAAGTTTTATATGTATAAGAATCTCATTCGAGGTATTTGATTTTGACTGATATGAACATGTTCATTATGGGCGAATTAACATGTATGACAAAACCAAGGTTAGATTCAATTTCATAAACTCAACATGATTTAAGAGTTATTGAAACTATTTGACAATTGAGGCAAAGAAAACAATCATCACATCCTATTGTTGTCTGCATGGAATTTTCTCCAAGGGATGAGATTTAGATAGAAGTAACTTGGTCAGGTTTTCAGCAGGTTTCTAAAAATGAGAGTATTTTTGAGAAAAGGCAAAAACTATGATGACAGTTTATTTGAACGACCTCTTTGTAAACTTTAGATTCTGCAAAGTTAATTTCATAGATTTCCTTGGCAAGTTTATGTTTAATTATATAGAAAAAAATAGATTATTGTTTAAAATCAATCATTTTAGATACAAGTAAGATCTGCTTTTGCACATCTTATTCCATTTGTCTGTCATATCTTTCCCCATCTCTCATCTGATAAATATTTACTTTTGCTTTTCAGATGTATCACAAATGCCACTTCCTTTGTAGAGTCTGTTGATTCCCATGCTGAGTTAATTATTCACTCATTGTTTCCACCAACTTTTCAGTAAAGTTATTTTCAATTTGCAATCAAACAGTATGTTGGAATCTCTGGGACACTCCTCCTCCAAACCCCAAGATTTCAACATGCCCCACTGCTAAGAATCACTCTTTAAACTGTGATATGTTTCCAATGGTGAGGGGGAGACTACACATATAAACAATATGCAGGGAGTTTATAAAATGATTGAGATTCCCCGCTTCTATGAGAATTTACTAGGTGGCAGAGATTTGACTTTGTGTTAAAAAAAATTAAACGTGATGGTCTTTGGCTTTAAGGAGCTCACAGTTTATGAAGCAAAATACTACCACTATACTAACAAGTATGTTCTTCCAGGTTATAAATTTGCATACATGTTTGTTAAGAAAAGATGCTTCACTTCATAATTGCACTTAAACATTTGAAGGGCTTTAATGT